CTCCCCTCAGCCTCCCAAAGGCGCGGGATTACAGGCTGAGCCACCAAGCCCGGCTTGTCTGGATATCTTAAATCCAAAGATTTACCCAGAAATTGGGAAGGCAGGACCTGTTTCAGACATGGATTTACCATGGAATTATTTTAAATTATGAATATCACTACAAAATAGGACTTGGGACTCAAATACATTATTTTTATAAAGCTTATAATTTCAGAAAGGCCTGAGACACATACCTCTTTCTACTATGTATATATAGTGATCATAAATAGAATATTCATCCCCACCCCCAACTTTAACATTATGCCCTAAAGCAAGCAAAATCTGTGTCATAACAACAATGTACTGATGTTCTGTGGCTCTTTACTGAGGGCCTTGCATCAAAGAAGCGGAAAGAGTAAGCAGTTCCATGGCCCTGCACTTCTGCCCAAGTCTGAATAGAAGGAAGTCAAGTCCTCTCAGGGGCTGGGAAAGTCTTAGACATTTTCTGAGGAACCATGACTCTGTCCAAAGTCGAGATAGCTCAGAGCCCTTCAGGTCGTTGATACTTCCAGAAGGCCACCTCCCCATCATCACTGCAGGAGGCCAGGAGCCCCGACTCCTTGGGATTCCAGGCTACGCAGTTGACATCCTGAGAATGGGCCTGATGCAAGTGGGCTGTCAGGGAGAAGGTGGGCTGCTGCGGATCTGAGCTAGGATCTTCCTCAAACACTCGGATAGCATCATCCCCGCAAGCTGTAGCCAGGGCCCCCGTAAGCTGACACCTGGGAGAAATGTACACATCAGTGGTATGCAGGTGGCTTCTCACTCCCCAACCTAATTAGATAGATTTGTTCCATAGTTCCTGGGCTGTTCTCTAACTTCAGGCCTCAGCTAAAAGTCTCCTATTAAAGAGTTTCCTTGACTAATATGCAGCCACAAACATCTCCCACTTAAGTCTTCAGGTGCTTCCATCTAGTCCCCACACCCCATCATCAATACCCTAAAAACCAAAACCAACATACAATTCTAAATGTACTTTTCTCACTTAGCAGAGACAGTTGCCCATGTCATGAAGTATTCTTAACCCCTCTTTAAACACTGATATGACAGGCTGAGTTTACCATAATTTACTGAAGTTCACTTTTGTGGAATAGGTTATTACCAAATGTTTCCTAATATAAATAGCGCTTGTGAGTTCACATCCATTTTTTTCAGTTTCTGATTATTTCCTAGAGATCAATTCTTAGCCAGAAGTGCCCTCTGACCTACTCTTATATGAATGGTGTGACTTTTCCAGCTTCCATAATGGCAGTCAGTGTTACCAAACCATAAAAACCCCAGCTGTGAATCCACAGGTTTGATATTACCATTTCTGGATAGTACGATGCTGTGTGAACCCCAAAGGTCGGTGCCTCCCTCAAAGGCTGGGATCTTAACCCAGTGTAGGCCTGGGTCTAAGTCTATTCCCTGCTCCTGTGAATCCCAGGCTAACCAGCTCTATGCCAGCATGATAGAGAGTCAGGCCTGATATGAAGAGTTGGGCTGGCTACTCTCAATTCCCACCCACTCTCCCAAGTGGTAGTGGTCTGCATATGTCATGACTTGTCTAAAATCTTTGCTATATTGGGGTGGTGGGGGATGGAAATCTTACCAAGCAACATCATAAATGGTCCTGGAGTGGAAGCCCGACAAAGTACAGATGCATTTCCAGGTGGGGTCAGAGTTGCTGCATGCCACCCCTGCAGGATAGACTTCTCTCAGGTCGATGACATTTCCATGTCCTGGACATCTCATGGAAGTAACTGCACCACTGCAGAGAACCTAACCCCCTCCCTCACCTCCACCTTCAATTAATTATGAGTCTGAGTCTCCATTCCCCTATCCCCATGCCTGTTGAGCTGCCTCACACACTATGCCCAGACTGGCCTTTTTTTTTTTGAGTAGGAGTCTCACTGTCACCCAAGCTGGAGTGCAGTAGCATGCTCACAGCCACCGCAGCCTTCACCTGCTGGGCTCAAGTAATCTTTCTGCCCCACCCTTCCAAGTAGCTGGAACCATGGCACGTGCCACCACACCTGGCTAACTTTTTGATTTATTGTAGAGAAGTCTTGCCAAGTTGCTCAGGCTGGTCTCAAACCCCTGGACTCAGACAATCCTCTCACCTCTGCCTCCTAAAGTGCTGGCATTACAGGCATAAGTCACCACGCCTGACCAGACTGGCCTTTCTAAAGCAGGATTCTGAGAAGAAAATGTCCCTTTCTGCTACAGACTATAACTCATTAGCTTGCCTTTTAAGGCCATCCAACAGCTGACCCAATCCACTTTATTCCTCCCCAAGGCCTTAACATCCCACGTACCATCTAAATGAATCATCATTCCTCATGTGTCTAGGTTTTCCCATCACCGACAAATTCACTCACACTGCTAGGTTTTCACCTGTAATTCTTGTGTGAAATTCCCATAGCCAGCCTCGGTGGCTCAGCCTGTAATCCCGCACTTTGGGAGGCTGAGGTGAGTGGACTGTCTGAGCCCACGGGTTCAAGACCCTCCTGGGCAACTTGGCGAGACCTCATCTCTACAATAAATCAAAAACTAGCTGGGCATGGTAGCGTGGGCCTGTAGTTCCAGCTACTTAGAAGGCTGAGGCAGAAGGATCATCGGAGCCCAACAGGTCAAGGCTGCAGTGCCTGGGAGCGGCCACTGCACTCCAGTCTGGGCGACAGAGTGAGACTCCAACTCAAAAAAAAAAAAAGAAATTCTCGTGTTAAAATTCTATATACCCTGTAATTCAGACAAAATGGCCCATTCCACAAAGCTTTCCTGATTCTTCCAGCACTCTGTCTGGAGCCCTCTCGTGGAACATCTTATTTCTTACCCCAACGTGCCGAAATTCACATATGTATCTTAGCAGACTATGAACCTCCTGAGAGATAAGCCTCCTTTAGCTCTTCTAATATATCCTCACCTTGTTCGTTGCCTGGTAGATACTGGCGCCAGATGCGCACGGTACGGTCATCACTGCAGGATGCCAGACGCTGGCCACTGGGGTCAAAGGCCAAGCTCCACACAGTGGATTCATGGCCCTCAAGGGTGGCACAGCATACCCAGTCATCCTCTTCTTCACGGTAGAGCTTCACTGTGTCATCATAGCTAGCAGAGGCTAAGAGCTGGGGGAGGGAGAAAGGAGACCCAGCACTTATCTGTATGGCCTAGGAAATGCCTGCGGCTCCAATCCCTCTTCCTGCCAGGATAGGACAGTCTGGGGATCTGTTTTTCTAAAGCAACTCATGCTTTTTGGTCACCCATAGAGATCCCTGTAAAAGCCGGGTTAAAGTTGAAGAGCAGAGGAAGGCTGGGCACAAGCCTCCGCACCAGAGTTCTTCCCACCAAGAGATCTTGCCTCTTACCTCCTGGCTTGGGTGCCAAATCACATGTTTGACATCCTGTGTATGGGAGTTGAGAACACTGACACATTCATACTCATCCTCTTCATCAACTGTGGGAGAAAAAAAGAAGGGAACCCAAGAGCCAGTACCGTCAGGGACACAGAGGGGGATGTCTGTCAGGTGGCTCCCAATTCCATCTGGAAGGACCTGGACTCACCTTCCCAGACCCACACACTCTTATCTCGGCTGCAAGTGGCCAGAAGGTTGCCAGATGGGGCCCAAGCCACTGACTTGACCTCATTTTCATGGCCCTCGAGAGTAGTTACACACTGTGAAAAGGGAAGAGGAACGAGAATTAAAGGCAGCTAAGATCCCTGAGGTCCTTTCATGGCTACAGGCCAAGTGGCCCAGGTTGGTTCAGGTTCCTGAACCAGACCTGAGGACAAAACAGGCAACACTCCTGGCGCCATCCAGCCTCATTACCTCAAAGTCATCCTGGGTCTTCTTCCAAATGCAAGTGGTGGCATCAAAGCTGGCAGAGGCTAGGTAATTGCCACAGGGGGACCAGGCCACCTTCCGCACGGTGCGCTGGTGGCCTTCAGAAAGGACAGACTTGCAGACCCAGCTGTCACCTAAAGGCAGAGGACAGGTCAGGCTCAGGAGCTGGGTGTGCAAGAAGGTGCTGAAGCACCATCAAGCCACTCGACCATGGAGGCTAGTACTGGAGCCAAGCTGGGGGCCAAAACTCATCAGAGGCATCCTTCTCAAAGACTTAAAACGTCCATCAAACGTCAATCAAAACGCCCGCTCTGATCAAAGACCAGAGCTTCATCACCCAGCGGCAAGTTGCTCCGCGGGCTACTTTCCTATCCCCTTTCTCTCCCCGTTTTCCTGCCTCGGCAGGTACGATCCCAACAGTTCCAGCTTGTCTGTCGACGCTTTTGCTGCCAGACCTTGCCGACTTCTTGACCTGAACAATTCTTCCCAGGGCGGCTAACGTCCGACTCGAAGGTCGCCTCTCGCTCGGCCCGTAACACCGTCCCGAGTCGGCCGCCGCAGGCTGCGCACTCACACTCTCCACACGCGGGGCCCTCAGCGCCGGGGGTCACGCGGCCAGGCCGGGCCTTACCCTCGGTGCCCCAGATGCGGATTCTCCGGTCACCGCCGCACGAGGCCAGCAGGGTCCCCGCGGGGTTCCAGGCCAGGAACCAGCAGCGGGAGTCCGGGTGCGCCGGGACACGGCCCAGCAGCACCAGCGAGTCTTTCATGGCGGCCTGGCGCCCAGTGAGGAGGAGAGGGGAAGGGGCAGCCTCGCCGACGAAGGGTCTCGCCGCGCGCGTCTCCGCGACGCCCACTTCAAGGGCCCGCGGCCGCCAGAGGCTCCCGCTTCCGCCGGAGGGCCCGGGTGGTCCTGGGAACTGAAGAGCCCGCTGCTGCGGCCGCGCGGCCCGCTGGGAGTTGTAGTCACTCCCTAGCGGCAAACGTCGCGGGGCCGCCTTGAACTACCAGTCCCGTGAGGCTCTGCGCAGAGCCGGCGGCGCGCCCAGGCTGTGACGCGCGCGTGGGGGACGGGGCCGGGAGCCGGAGGAGGCGGAGGCCGAGGAGGAGGAAGCCGGAAGTGCATCGGGCCCGGGTCGGTCCGGGCGTTGCGGGATCAGGGCCTGGGATCGCTCGGCCCCCAGCAGCTGAGAAACCTGTGACTGGGAGGAGCGGCGCCTTCCCGGCCCTGAGACCTGCTGACCGGTGAGGAACAGTGGGCGGCGTGGGGAGGGTCCTTTCTCTGCACAGGTCGCAGCCCAAAGCGCCGGTCCCAGATCACCGGTCCCCAGTCCCCGCGGCCCAACCCGGTCCTCCGCTCCTCGGCACCCTCTGGCCGAGACCCCAGGTCTGGGTCTCTCCTCCAGGAATAGCCGATCCGCGGTACCCCCGCCCCCCAGCTCTGTCTGCTCAGACCCCATCTGGTCCCCTCTGCGTTCTCGTCCTGCAGCCCTATTCCAGAGTCCCCTGTCCCCGCCCCCCCGAATCCCCGCAGTCCTCTCGTCTCTGTTCACCCCCGGGTCCCACCCCCCCCATCCTCAGGTGTCAACCCTGACAGCCCCGCGCCGGCCTCACCTGTCACGGACCCAGCGCACTGCTCTCCTCTCCGGGACTGGCAGGCTCTGCGCGCCCCGCAGAGGTCGGCGGCGACCAACAGCGACCGCGGAGCGACGGCGGGCGGCCCCGGGCATGTACGCTCCCGGAGGCGCAGGGCTGCCCGGTGGGCGCCGGCGGAGGAGCCCGGGAGGCAGCTCTTTGCCCAAGCAGCCGGAGCGTAGCCTGGCCTCGGCCCTACCTGGCGCCCTGTCCATCACGGCGCTGTGCACTGCCCTCGCCGAGCCAGCCTGGTTGCATATCCACGGAGGCACCTGTTCCCGCCAGGAGCTGGGGGTCTCGGACGTGCTGGGCTACGTACACCCGGACCTGCTGAAAGGTGAGGGCGCTGCGCGCCGACCCTTCAGGCCTCGGTGGGGGGCCGCATGTGGTACCCGCGGAAGCCGAGATGGCCAGGGGCAGGCACCTGGTTGAAGGAAACGACCCGTTCCTGCCTGGTGTTCATGCCCACCAGGTGGCTCTGTTTGGGGTCTGGCCCCTCATTAATTCTGATGTTATTCAGCTAAGCACTTACTTCTCACAGCCATGCTAATCCGGACTGCTGCTATTTTAGGATTCTGCTGAACGAAGGGCCCTGTATATGGAGAAAAGACAAGGGTGCTAGCTATCACAATCGCTCTCCCCTTCTGAGGAACCGTGGGATACAGGAAAGCTTTGGAGACAGAGTTTATGGAGAAAAAGAAACTTATTATGACTAGTCTTTAAAAGGTATTTTAGAGTTCTATGGTAACTGGATTTTTGTTAAATAAAAAAGGGGTCTGTGACTTTTTAGGTAATCAGAGGTCATTTCCTCAGTAAAACAGTTGGAATTTGGCCCTGGGAACCATTACAAGTGTGCCTGACGGAGGTATGGTTGTACTGTCCATCATTATGCTGCCTTGCCAGGTAGACAGCCAAAGCCTATACAGGCTCCTAGGAAGCCTTATAGTTTATCCTACACAGTCCTGACTTCAGTAGTGAGGATAAAAGCCATGTGGTATGAGGGCAGGAGTGCACCATCTGGTTTTTACACTGAAAATGGTCAGTGTACCTCAAGCAGTCCTCAGTAACAGCATAGTTCATCACCTCGAAGGTCTTTTGAACCATCTTGAAGCTCTTCATATTTTCTCTCTGTGCTATCTCCTGGCTGTGATACATTCCAGATGTTTAGTGGCCCAGATATGAGAAGCACTTCTTGTTAGATATCTGTATGTTGCCTCCTGAAGGATTCAGGCACTGGGATTTGGTGCAAAGGGCCAAATTCCTCTGTGCATTGGATCATATGTCACAGGTCTAGGCTGAAAAGCCTCATCCTTGTGGCCAAATGTTTGCCTTCCTCTGAGTGTTCTCTTACTGTTTGCATCACTCTTGAGTTTTAGAGGCTTTAGGTGATTTAGAAGGCTGGGGCTTCTGATTTTTTTTCCAAATTTCACCCAGATGGTAGGTTGACTTGTTAAAGCCAAGGTTATGCACATGGTGGAGGCCTTGTGATATGCAACTTTTTCTCTGGCACATAGCTGATAGCATAAAGGGTGTCAAGTGTGAGTGGGTCTGAATGGTTTTCCCCTCAGCATATTTCTCTGTGCCCACTTTCTTTGAAACACAGCTGCCACCTTCCCTCCATTTCATCCAGGCCTTTGCAGTTGATACTATGGTGTTTTAGTGTTTCAGAGTTCATTGTCACCTACAAACTGGGAAAGAGTTCTGCCTTTGCAGATCATAAGAGGGGCTCATAAAATTCACATGATGGAGGGAGAGACAATCTGATCACACATCCTTATTTTAGAGGTCTAGGAAGCTATGGCTCAGAAAAATCAAGTGATCTTCCCAAGGCAAGCCCATTGGGGGTGGCATAGCTGGAACTGCCTCACACTTGTTGATGTCAATATAAAATGATACTATCTCGTTTATGGTTTTAATTCTCTGTTTTACTTTAACTGTCATAAGGAACAATCTCATGATTGTTTCACTTTAGTGTACATCCTCATTGAAGGCATGTTCAAAATAAAAGGAAAAATAGGTGGGGCACAGTAGCTTATGCCTATAATCCCAGCACTCTGGGAGACTGAGGTGAGAGGATTGCCTGAGCCCATGGGTTCGAGACTAGCCTGGGCAACTTGGCAAGACCCCATCTCTACAATAAATCAAAAAATCAGCTGGGTGTGGTAGCGCGCGCCTGTAGTTCCAGCTACTCAGAAGGCTGAGGCAGAAGGATTGCTGGAGCCCAGCAAGTCGAGGCTGCGGTGGCCGTGAGCGTGCCACTGCACTCCAGCCTGGGCAATAGAATGAGACTCCAACTCAAAAAAAAATAAATAAATACCTAAATACATAATTAAAGGAAAAATAAGTCCTTGGTGCAGGTTCTCCTTTGTTCACATATGTATTTATCCTTTCTGAGCAATTCAGGCCACATTTTGTCCTCTGGAAGGCATGTTTTCTTAACCACTATATCATGTTTGCTCATGTTTAGAAATCTTAACCCATGTTTAGTTTCTACCTGCTTGCCTGTGGTCATCTCCTTAAGCTACGAACACTTTGTGCCTTTAATAGGAGAGTTGGCATTGGTGCCTCATGAGCTATTCCAGAAGAAGGCAAGGAATCAGGAGGTCCCTGATTGTGTCTCCTCTCCCTTTTCTTTTCTTTTTTTTTTTTTGAGTTGGAGTCTCACTCTGTCACCCAGACTCCCAGCCACCGCAGCCTCGAACTGCTGGGCTCCGGTGATCCTTCTGCCTCAGCTTTCCGAGTAGCCGGAATTACAGGCATGCGCTATCACACCCGGCTGATTTTTTGATTTATTGTAGAGATGAGGTCTCGCTGCCCAGGCGCGTCTCGAACCCATGGGCTCAGGCAATCCACTCACCTCAGCCTCCCAAAGGCGCGGTTGTTGGGTCCCAGTGGACTCTCGGATGTGTGGTATCCTGTGTGACTGTGCTCAGGGATCAGCAGATCATCTAACAGATGTCCTGACCTGGAAGCCTGGGGGTATTCTCCATCTCAAGAGGAGCAGATCTATCAAGCACAGATACTTCCAGAGGGAGAACAAACCCTACCATTTCTTTGCAGGTGATGGGAGTGGGGCGGTCCAGCAGGCCCTGGAGCAGCCTTGCCGCTTCTCAGCTAGTGCCTGAGTGCCATGTGTTGGCATTATGCTAAGCACACTTCATGCCTACTTTTAGTTTCTCCTAAACAGCATCTTTGTTTGGCAGGTACTGTCATCAGTGTACAGCTAGTCTGAGTGGCGTCAACTCTAAAGTCCATTCTCTTGCCACCATACCTTAGTGCACTCCAAGTTTCTTTCTTCTTTTTTCTTTTGGAGCTGCCCAAGGCTCATCACATCCCTCTTCTCGTTGGCTTTTATCACAAGCCCAGCCAGAGCTCTCCTTTTTATCATATCCTCATCACCTCAGTGTTGGGGCTCAAGTTGGTGATCCTGAGGCAAAGCCATTTGCCCTCCCACTGTCCTTCGCAGGGCTCCAGGCTTTAGCCAATGCAGGCTGGCTCCAAAGATTCATCCTGGATTCTTCTGCACCCCCAAGGGGTTGCTTCCTTCTCACATAGCCCTTCAATCTGGGCCCAGGTCCAAAGATGTGCTCAGACTTCGAGTGGCTCTGGGGAGGAGAGCCCAGATAATCATTCCTTCTGAGCCCCTGATTCTTTCTGACTCTCAGTCAAGTATGGCTAGCAAAGGGCAGTGCCCATAACAGCCTCAGGAAGCATCTTTGGAGAATGAGGAAGTGTGGGATCAGAAGTCAGGCGTATCACAATTGACAACAGCCACTGGAAGATCAAGGGCTCACTGGGGAGGGCCTGTGTGCCTGACATGTGGTGACTGGTGTAGCGAGCCCTGCCAGGTCCTTCAGGGCCTGTCGTCAGAGGCAGCTCAGCTAGGACCATTGGTATCTATGGGATGACTGGCCAGGAACTAAAGGGCCCTGTTGGAGGCCTGTGTCAGAGGCCTGTTTGGCAGCTTAAAAAAAAAAAGCCACTGTGGGAAGAGGCTGAACAGATGGGATGAATGCATAAAGAGACATTGGGGCAGTGGGGAAGTGCCTCTAACTGAGAGGATCCAGTGAGGAGGGAGTGACCGGGGGCAGGGAGCTGGTCAGAAGCCACTATAGCCTTCCTGTCTGCAGCCTTTGTGGGTCAGAAGGGTTAGAGCGATGGGCAGGTAGACAGGAAGAGCCAGGGCCTTCAAAATAAATCCAGCCCAGTGACTCACCAGTGACCTTGAGCAAAGTCAGTTCCATGAGATCCTATTACACAGCAGCTGCCTTCTTCTCTGATGACTAGAGGGCATGGTCAAGCAGTGTTTACCAAAATAAACAGGCCAGAGCACAACTGGAGGATAGGATATGTTAAGCGTCTTGCCACAGTGTCTTGGACAGCACCACTGGCTTGAATTTAAAGTTAGGACTGTGCCCCCAAGGGCCATTTCTTTCCCACAGAATGATAACACATGTAACCTTTGGGGGTGTTGCTTTTCTAGCAGTCATCTCGAGGAGTGGATGTTCGTTGTCCACCCTGACATACTGATGTCTAGGAAGGGAGGAGAGGAAGATGTTGAGATACTGGCCCAGGAGAGTCTCTGAGCTGGGTTCTAAGCATGTCTGGGATAACTCTGCCTCTCTTTCCTGTGTGCCCTGAGACCCTCTGAGGAAAGACCACTTGTGATAGAGGGCAGCTCCTGAAGTATCTATTAGCATCACCCATAGAGACATTTATATGTAGCATTCCCAGTAACCCTGAGGGTTTACTCAACTTTAGAGTAAAGAAAGCAAGCTACCTGGAAACAAAACCTGTTTGAATTCTGGGTCAAAAGCCCCTCCTGTGTACCACATTGTCACTCTGTGGGGCAGACCTTTAGTCTGGCTTTAGAATGCTACTGGCCCACAGTGGCTAACTTGTGGTCAAGGAAGTCTCCATGTAAGAAGGAAAGTCACGCTGACACCGCTATGACTTAGCTGAAACAGCCCCTTGTCGGTAGGGCAGTAACAGTACTGGTGGCTGCTCTTTCATGGGCACAGTGTCAGCTGACCCTCCCAATGTCCCCTGTGGTGGATGGGGTGAATATTACCACTTTCATTTGATCAGTGAGAGGACAGAGGTCAAGGGCAGTCAAGTGACATGCTCAAGGTATCATGTAGTCTCTGAAAGACCTAGGATTAAGCCAGGCTCGGTGGCTCAGCCTGTAATCCTGCGCTTTGGGAGGCTGAGGTGAGTGGATTGCCTGAGCCTGCGGGTTCAAGACCCGCCTGTGCAGCGAGACCTCATCTCTACAATAAATTTTTAAAAATTAGCTGGGCGTGGTAGTGCACACCTGTAATTCTGGCTACTCGGAAGGCTGAGACGGAAGGATCGCCGGAGCCCAGCAGGTCGAGGCTGCGGTGGCCGGGAGCAGCCACTGCACTCCAGTCTGGGCGACAGAGTGAGACTCCAACTCAAAAAAAAAAGAAAGAAAGACCTAGGATTTGGCACCAGGTCCAGAGCCTTTCTGATGTCCTGACCACTTCCAAGAGCTAGACCCCGATGACTGCAGTGCTGCAAAAGCTTAGACCCCATACCAAGCAGGTTTTGCCTAGTAATTCCCTGTATGAGCACATTTCGTCACTTAATGACCCAAATCCATTTTGCTTTTTTGTGAGATTTCACGCTTCAAGCTGTTCCTCTAGTTAGCTCAGCAACTGCCGACTCTGAGGATGGCTCATATTAGCTTTTGACCCTTCCTTCACATATAGCTCTTTAGAATTTTGATTGATTACCTCCAGGGAAAAACGCAGTGACTGACTGTGGTGTTTGGTGATTTCAAGCAGCGCAGTGCAGGGAGCCTGACCCGTGTTTGGGATCTAGCTCTGCACTGTGTGGCCCAGAGGCTCCTGGAGCCTCCAGACTCCTCCTCTGAGCCATGTGATGAATCCCCCAGGGTGGCAGTGAAGATTAACCAAAAATAATGTTTGACCAATCTGTGTGTACTGGCTTTTCCTGGAGGGGTATGCGAGGTACCTCCAACAGTATTTGCCACTGGGGAGGGGCAGGTGGGCATCTGGAAGAGAAGGAACCTTCCTTCTGAAGTTTTTTATCATGTGTGTGTCTTTCTGATTATTCAAGTAAACATATTATGAAACATAAGACACAGAAGTGGATGTACATTTTTAAGGATAATAAAATGAACATTCTTGTGCTCACCATCCAGCCAGAGAAACAGCCAACAATCTTTTTGAGGCCCCCCTATGTCTTACTCTTCTTGCTCCAAGCACCTGGCTGTATTAAGTAATTCGAGTGGAATTTGACACAGCCTGCTGCAGAGCAGCATGTGACTTCTGGCAGGTTATTCTTGGAAGCACTAGAAAAGCACTTTCATCCTTAGCCATCCCTGGCTTATGCCACATGGACCCCAAGAAGAGCTTTTAACAATATTCAAAATAAAGCCAGGGATAGCCTGTGTCCTAGAACTTTCCTTTCAATGAGGTCCTGTGCACCATCAAGGGCTCTAAGGGCTGGATTAACTGAGGGCTGGGCCTGGTTGCTGGCAGAGCTCACACACAGGCAAGCTTCCTGGCAGCAGGCCGTCACCCAGGCTGGATGCTTGGGCCCAAGACAGATGGTCAGCAGACAAGAGTTCATGGCAGATAGCTCCGAGGACAGCTTGGTGGGTGACCCGAAGCCAGACAGAGGCATATGAGCCTTGTCTGGGGCCAAGTAGCATCTGCTTGGCGAATTTTGAGCCTGAGGCAGGGTATGCCTACTTAGTCACAAAGGCCCAGGGCCTCCCTCTGCCCAAGACCCCACGATGCCGGCGTCTGTTGGATTGAGTCAGCTTTGTTAGGTTTAGGTCCCCTCCCCAGGTTCTTGGACTTTCCTTCCTCTGAGGTCTGGGCCCAGTGTTTGTTGAAGTATGAGTTTGGACCACCTGCATGGGGATTACCTGGATCACTAGAATCCTTTATTGTATGCCTCTGAGAGCTATGGCATAAATTTAAATAGCTGTTAAAGGAGACTGAGTGTTGTCTAGTTGAAATTTTTTTAAAAGGCTGAGTGTGTTGGCTCACGCCCGTAACCCCAGCACTTTGGGAGGCCAAGGTGAGAGGATTGCTTGAGCCCAGGAATTTAAGACCAGCCTGGGCAACATAGCAAGACCCAATTCTCTGCAAAAAATAAAAATAAAAAAGAATGGGGACCAGGTGCAGTGGTTCATGCCTGTAATCCTAGCACTTTGTGAGACTGAGGCAGGAGGATCACTTCAGTCCAGGAGCTCAAGGCTGTAGTGAACCATGATCCTGCCACTGCATTCTAGCCTGGGTGACTGAGAAAGACCCTGTCTCAAAAAACAAAAGAAAAAGATAATAAAGTACTAGAGGGAAATATCCGAGTTGCTCTGTGTGTCTGGTGCATGGTTGTCATTGTGGGATCTCCCTTCACCATGACCCTGGGGACTCCTTGAATGTTGTATCTCTTGTTTCGGCCTTTTCCTTTTCCTCGGTTTACTTCTCTATTTTGGTAGAGCATGCACCCCTTGGTGCTGTCAATTTTGGAGCCTTCTGGGGCTTTTTGGATATTAATTTGGCGACTTCTTAGCTTTTCCCATATCTGGCTTACCCTCAGCTTTGTCAAATCTGCTGTGTCCATTCTTGGTAGTGACAAGTTCCTTCAGTTTCTGGTTTTCAGAGCTTTATCTTGCACATCCCTTTCTCTTTGTGTGGATTTATGCCTTTTTTTTTTCTTTTGCGTCAAAGTCTCACTGTCACTCAGGCAGGAGCACAGTGGTGCGATCATGACTCACCACAGCCTCGAATTCCCGGGCTCAAGTGATCCTCCTGCCTCAGCCTCCCAAGTAGTTGGGACTACCAGTGTGTGCCACTATGCCTGGTTAATTTTTCTATTTTTTGTAGAGACAGCGTCTTGCTTTGTTGCACAGCCTGGTCTTGAACTCTTGGCCCCTAGCAGTCCTCCTGCCTTGGGCACCCAAAGTGCTGAGATTACAGGTTTGAGCCACTGGGCCCAGCGTTTATGCCTTTTTAAAAAATGATGTTCTAGCCGGGCTTGGTGGCTCAGCCTGTGATCCCGCGCCTTTGGGAGGCTGAGGTGAGTGGATTGCCTGAACCCGCGGGTTCGAGACCCACCTGGGCAGCAAGACCTCATCTCTACAATAAATCAAAAAATCAGCTGGGCTTGGTAGCGCGCGCCTATAATTCTGGCTACTTGGAAGGCTGAGGCGGAAGGATCGCCAGAGCCCAGCAGGTCGAGGCTGCAGTGGCCGGGAGCGGCCACTGCACTCCAGTCTGGGCAACAGAGTGAGACTCCAACTCAAAAAAAAAGATGTTCTTTTGTTCTGCTAGAATTTAGGGAGGAGCAGAAATAAATGTGATAGTGCAATTCACTATCTTCCTGATTTATTGAATACTTTCTTGTAGTTACACATTTCTCTAAACTGCTTCAATTTCTTTATTTCCCTTTTCTTTATTTTACTTTTTTTTTTTTTTTTT